CTTTGTTCCCCTTCCCATTTGAACATTTTCTTCCTCCTTCCCAATATTTATCCTTCATTTTGCTCTTTATTTACCCACTGGGTTTCTCACATAAGAGAAATAATAAGATATTTAAACTTCTTAGTCTGATTTATTTCACTCAAAATTTGTGGTCTCATCCATTGTGGTGCATCCATTTACCTAAAAATAACTCAAATTTATCCTTCTTTATGGCTGAGTAGTACTCCATGTTATATAAATATCACTTCTTTATCCATTTATCTGTTGATGGTCATATGGGCTGTTTCCAAGATTTAGTTATTATAAATTGTGCTGCTATAAATATGAAGATATATAGATAGATAGATAGATAGATAGATAGATATAGATATATAGATATATATATAATCACTGTGGTATGATGCTTCTAACTCTTTCAGAAAGATACCTAGAAGGGCAACAGCTTCTATCTAATCTTGTTTCCTGGAAATGTTCTTTATAGGTAGAAGTCAATCATTTATTGTGATCATTTCTATGGGAGAGATATAGAACAAGTCACTTATTCTCTCTTCTTTTAACCAATCACTCTCCTTTTCCATCTAGAGATAGATTCATTGGTTCTATTTGTTTGTTTGGTTGGCTGGTTGGATGGTTGATTGGTTGGTTGGTTGGTTGCTTTTGAGGCAAGGTCCACCATGTAGTTCAGGCTGATCTTGAACTCATTATGTACCCTAGGCTGGCCTCAAACTTGTAGTGATCCTCCTGGCTCAGCCTTCCAAGTGCTAAGAATATAGGCATGTGCCACCATGCCCAGTTTGGTTTTTGAATCTACAGAAAAAAATATATTTTACTATGAATTTGGTGCCTTTTCTGTAAGCTGAAAACAAGAGGCTCGCAGAAGATAGGGTGAAAGTTGCATGATAAAGTAGAAAGAAAGTATATTCACTTATTCAGCCATTTACTAGTGTCTACTTTGTGCATGGTGCTCTGCTAGACTCTGTAAGAAACAAAAGTAGAAATGGTGTCTGCCCTCCAAAGCTTACAGTCCAGTAAGACAGACATACTTGGAAAAACAAATCTAAGACACAAATTTCTGTGGTGGAATGTATTCCATGGAGCACAGTAGAGACACCACCCTCCACCAGAGTAGGAAGGAGCTTGAGGACCACTGAGGCTCTGCTCCTGGCTGAAGTTATGATCTGAGTAAATAACAGCTACTCTGATCCTCAGTTTCTTTAACTGTCAATTGAGATAACAGTATGGCACCTGCTTTCTAAACTTGTTTTTAAAAATGGGATAAGGCTACAAAGTTTCAATTAAATAGGAGGAATAACTTCTGAAGATCTATTGTACAGCATGCACTATAGTTAGTACTGTATACTTGAAATATGCAGAGAGAAATTTTAAATGTTCTCATTACACACAGAAAAAAATGTAAGTATGTGAGGTGATGAATATGTTAATTACCTTGATGTACTAATTCTACAATGTACATTATATATAATTAAAATAAATATATACCATCAAAATAAATAAATGAAATCAGGATGATCTAGTTGAGGCATCTAGTACAATTCCTGACTCTCAAAGAACAATGGTTGGAATGAAAGGCTCATATACAGTCATGTGATCATGACTGTAACTTGAGGAGGAGAAAGAGTTCACTGTCAGTGGAGGTAATCAAAGAAGAGAAGAGATAAGTGAAGCCCTGAAAGATAGGGCAGGATTTACAGATGAGGAGAATTAATTGTTAGTAAAATCTGAGGAGAGGTACTTTCTTGAAGATGGAAACATCATTATGAAATTTTAAAAGGCAGGTGTTATATTCAATGAGGAGAAATGTTCAGGCAGGAGAGGGTGCATGTCTTAGTGTCACATTACAAAGACCCTTGCATGCCAGCCTGGGGACTCAGAGACTCAGAACTCTGAGCTCTAGAGATCTCTTTGACTAAGCAAGCTCTCACTGTTCAGATGAGGACTGCTATAGTCTGAATCAGAAATGTCCCGACAAGCTTGTGTGTTAAAGGCTTAATCCCCAACTTGGTCTGTCAGGAAGTAGTGGGACCTTTAAAAGGTAAGCCTGAGTGAGAGGTCTTATACCATGGGTGGTGCTCCCTGGAAGGGGATTATGGGACCCTAGCCCCTCCTCTTCCTCCTTTGTTGCTTCCCAGCCATGGTGAGGTGAACAGTTTACTCCACTATATGCTCCCCACAAGATGTTCTGCCTCCCTGCAGACCCAAAAGCAAGAAGGCCAACCCACTATGAACAAAAATAAACCTTCCCTGTTTATTAAGTGATTATCCCAGGTATTTTGGTACAATAATGGAAAGCTGACTAAAACACAAGGGCATTGAGATTCATGAATTTACCCAAGGCCACGTGGGTAATAAAGCTCTTGGATGACAGTCTTGTGTTATTTCCACTGTGCACAGGTTTTGTAATCAGGTGCTTTACAAGCCTAGGATTGACAGAGAATTCTCAGTGACCACCATATGGTAGGGAGAGAGCGTAAGTTAGGACAATGCCGAGAACATGTGCGATATATGAAGTGGTAGCATGAGCACTGAATTTTAAGAGATTCTTCAACTTTAACCAAAAAAACTCTACCTTGTTCTGTTTGGTCTTTGTGTTTTGGGTAAAGAGGAGCTCTGAAGATTTTCTAGTACTAAGATAACATAAGTAAAACAGTGTTTAGAACACATAAAGTGGCTGTTCTTGTAGGCAGTAAAAGGAGACGATGGAGGTTACATCCTTGTCAGAATCTCCAGGAAAACCACTGCATTTCCCCATGGTTTCAGATTTTCAGCCTCCTCAAAACACCCACTAACCAGCCATTACTTTATAGCAAACATCTAGCTGTTACAGGAATAAGGGATAACTGCTCCAGACATGCAGAGGACTTGTTACTTCTCCAGGTTAATGTTTAGATGCTCGTGTTTCTTAATGCCCTTGACACGTTTCATTAAAATTTAAAAGTTTCTGAGTTTCTTTCCTGTCTTTCTGATGTTCATTTTGACATCCTAGAGGAAAAAAAAAAAACTGGAGAGAGGAGAGAGTAAAGAGGAAAATAGATATATACCAGTTCACAGAGGGTAAGAGGTGAACTTTGAATTAAATATTATTCATCTAGGGCTGGGGATTTAGCTCAGTGGATCCGGCACCTGCCTTGCAAGTGCAAGGTCCTGAGTTCGATCCCTGGTACCAAATATATATATATATATATACACACACACATATATATATACACACACACACATACATACACATTATTCATCTAGCATGTTGACAGGGGTCAACTAATTCTCAAAACTGAGTCAAGATAATCACACGTTCAAGCCGATTCTGGGCAACTGAGTGACTTAGCAAAACTCTGTCCAAAAATAAAACAGGGGCTGTAGCTCGATGTGAAAGCCCTGGGTTCGATCCCCAGTATCACAGGGGGAGAAAAAGTGATTCTCTGTACACAGATGTCTTGCAGAGTTCTAAGCTGAGTGTCTGGCACTACTTCATATTATACCCAAGTCTCATAGCAATGGACTCCTAGGAAGGCAGCTTTGTAAGACAGGATACTCGATTGATTATAAGTCAAACAACAAATAAATTAATTATTCTATGCTACTGGATTTTACACATAGGAATCACAGTGCACAAATGTGTGTGTGTGAGCATGTTTTTGTGTGTCTGTGACCATATACATGTATGTGTATATGCCTGTTTGTATGTATATATGCATAGGTATGTGAATGTATGTGCCTGTGTCTATGTACATGTATTCTTATGCATGTGTGTATGCCTTTCTGTGTGAGGCTGTGTGCGCCTGTTTTAGTCATTTTATCTTTGCTAGGATGCAATACCTGATACAACTTAAGGGAAGATAAGTTTATCTTGACTCATGTTTCAGAAGGTTGAGTCCATGTTTGGCAGGCTTGAACCCAGACATGGCATGGTAGAAGGGCTTGGGTAGAGAAAAGCTGCTCACATCATGGCAGCCAGGAAGCAGAGAGAGAAGGGAAGAGGCAGGGTGGAGATACACCCCTGCAGGTCACACCGACCTTCAACCTGGCCCCACTTCCTGACAGCAAGTCAGCTGTAATGCCCCCATAGTCCAACTACCTTCCACAAGCCCTGCCTCTGAGCACATGAGAATTTGGTAGATTTTCTTGACCTAAATCACAATAGTATAATTTTAAAATACAGTGAATGTTGCTTCCAAGTGCTATCCAAGGGAAAGTCAGGCTCATAAAAACTTTACAGTGTATCCTCATCCACCTTATTCATTAGATCTGGCACTGTATGACTTCTAACTTTTCCTCAAAGTCAAAAATGACCATGAAAGGTAAATATTTTGAATCAGTTCCTGACATCAAGGCAGCTGCAATGGTGCAAGAAAAGATAACTCATGGAAGAGGACTTCCAGAGCTGCTTCAGAAACTGGCAAGTGTGATGGAACATGTGGGTTCAAAGTCAGGGGGAATATTGTGAAAGCAGTTAATGTCAATGTGTCTTTTAATGTAAAAATTTACAGTAAATAAATTTTTAAAAAATTTTAACATTCACCATGTTTTTCTATCACACCTCTTATGCTGTGTGTGTGTGTGTGTGTGTGTGTGTGCTGCTATTTTATTTAATCCTCAGTTAGCCCTCTGAGGTGAATACTTGGCTCACCATACTGGTGACAAAACCGACTTGAGGTTCTGAATCTTACCAAAGATCCCATACGTAACACATGAACCTGATCTCATGCTGGGTCTGTTTAACTTAAAATATAACATGTCTAGGGCAAAGACCAAAGTGGGCAAAGACCAAAGTATTCAAAGCCTAAATGTCAGGATATTCAAAAAAGCTCACTTGAGAGAGTGTCAAGGCCAGTTTGGCCTGAGTCTGTCTTCAGGAAAGCAAGTAGAAAAAGAAGTTAAGAAGTTTAGAAGCACAAGTGGTTGTACCAGAAATACAATGCCCACCTGATGCTAACTGGCTCAGAGCTGGGGAAGTAAGGTGCTCCCTCTCTGCTTCTTTTCAGCTCTTCGTGAGAGAACCTGAAAAGAGGCTGGGAGTGAGAGGAGACATCCGCCAACATCCTTTGTTCCGAGAGATCAACTGGGAAGAACTTGAGAGAAAGGAGATTGACCCACCTTTCAGGCCGAAAGTGGTAAGGGCCACTCTCAGGCAGTTCACTTTCAGCTCTTCTCCCCTTACTCACAGGCTGTGGCCTGACCAAGTACTAGCAGCCCTTCCCCTCTACCCCATCTCTGACTCCTCTTCTAACCCCACCCTCAGACAAGGATGTGCTTCTTTAATACCAGCCATTTGGCTGGTGGAGAAAAAAGAGGGATATCCTTCTTGCCTGCAAAATTTAACTTCTGTAGTCAAATGCTCCTGCATGAAGAATGGACAGCTGGATATACTTAGATTGGATATGTATTTGCAAACAGTAGGTGACTGTCAGGTGAGATGTGGTTTTGCACATGACACATACATACTTAACAGTCATTGTCTGGGTGACTCAAACTTGTCCATAAATTCTGTACCTAATGTGAGGAATTTGGGGACATTTTTCCATATGTATCAGATTTACTTAGCACCTGTAATATGTGCACATAACTGCATTCCCTAGCAGTAATCATTAGGGGTTCCTAAGTTTAAGGAAGAAAAAGGAAATCAGTGTTCATAAAAAGATAAATCTATAAATTCCCATATGTACATATGCTAGCAGAAGTCCCCAACCCACAGCAGAAAGAGCAGAGGAGCCTGGCTCACAAAGGATGGGCCACTGGAAAGTGAAGACCAGAAAAAAGATAAATTAAGATGAAAAAAGTTCTGGAGGTATATGGTGGTGATGGTTGTACATGAACATACTTAATGCCACTGAACTGTGCACTTAAAAATAGTTAAATTTTAGGTTACCTATATCACAATCTTTTAAAAAGTATTTTTTCAATAAAGCAAAGTGGTAGATTTGCTAGCTTTTAGCATTCCTGGTGATTTCTTAGAATATGATAATAATTACCTGGCTAGGAATGTCTCTACATTACTTTGCTGAAAAGAGTATGGGGCTCCTAGGTATCATAATAAAGGTTTCACCCCACAAAACAGCTACAGTTGTTGGCTATGTTAGTGAATGGCTGAAAAATGCAAATGTTCCTTGTTCCCAGGGTTAGCATTGTTGTTCTCAGCATCTGTCCCAGGCCTTGGAGATGTTCAACAGGTTGGCCTTTAGCACTCCTTAGTTGGTTGTGACAGTATCATTCCTAATACATGGTTAATCATTTGTTTGTGATAAAACAAATTTTTGCCATGTTTTAGCTTGATTCATGCCTGACCTTCCATTGCAGATTAAAACTGACTTGATATTTTCCAAATAAAAATCCTAACTTTGATCTAAGCTTACCCTATGGGACAATTCCTAGCTCTCCCAGTAGAAGGGAATTTCCCTGGCCTGTGGTCTGAGCAGCTATCTGTACACAGGGGTCACTGGCCACTAACCTCACCAGCCCACTACTCCTCCTCAGATGGGGAGGCCTGACCTTGTGCCTGTGACTTCCTTTTTTATAATGGTTAGTCTCCCAGAGCTTAATATGGGCACCACGTGCAACAGTATTTATGAAAAGGTGTTTGTTTTTACTCTGGCTCTCTCTCTCTCCCTCCCTTCCTCCCCTCCCCTCCCTGTTTTGGTCATGAGAACCAACGGCCCAGTGCTCTGAAAGGAGTTTCTTCCATTCTGTGTTTACTCTCCATGAGGCATAATAATAAAATTAACACAAGTTGAGGCACCATCAACACCAAGGATGTTGATAAAAGGCCATGAACACATAACCTCCTGTGTTCCTCTTTTTATCCTTTCTCTCTGCTCCCACCCTCACTTTTGTCCTGTATAAAATAAAAGGAGAAAGACCAAATTTGGGCTCTCTACTTTTTCTTTTTCTGTTTTTTTTTTTTTTTTCTGGTACTGGGGATCGAACTCGGGTCCTTGTGCTTGCGAGGCAGGTGGCGGAACCACTGAGCTAAATCCCTGGCCCCTACTCTTAAAGTTGCCAATTCTTCACGTAAACGCTTAACTAGGAGAGTTACACCCTACTGAATGTATGCAGTAGGATTTATATGATTTTAATCATACTAGTAAGGAACTGATGATAGGATCATAGAGATGTTCAATTCAAGCCATACCTGTATCAGTTAAGTTTTGTTTAATCTGAAAATGCCAACTTTGTCATGCATAGATCATAGATGAAGTAACTAATGTTAAGATAATGGATTTAGTGGCTGATTTTCTTCCCTTTTTCTCCCCCTTAAACCATCCAAGAAATCGCCATACGACTGTAGCAATTTTGACAAGGAATTCTTGAATGAGAAACCCCGACTGTCATTTGCTGATGGAGCACTGATCAACAGCATGGACCAGAACATGTTTAGGAACTTTTCTTTTGTGAACCCAGGGATGGAAGGGCTCATCTCCTGAACCCCACCTCTCCAGAGACTTGAAGGAATTTGCATCCTCTCTGAGAACTGTTCAAGCAACACTTCTTGGGTCCCTTTTTCAAGTTGGGAAAGAAAAGAAACACTCAGCAATAAAGGTTAAGACCTTTTAGCTCCTCACTTGACTTTTTATCTGTAGCGGAAACCAACTCTACTTCACTGAAGGCAATGCCCTCTATTTCATCTCCTGATTTTTCACAACCGCCCTTGAAGTTAGGTCATTACTAACCTTAGTTATTTACTTGAAAAATGGTCCTCCACACTGCGAAGGATTTGAAACTTAATACTCCTCTAAATTATAGCTATTCCCTTGGGCACCAACTGCTGATCAATGAAATACTTGATAAGTCACGGTGCAAAGTGAACAAACTTCTCAGGTCTGAAACAGCCCATTACGTGATGGGAGTGGATCCAACTCAGCCACAGACAAATAATCACTAACCCATTTTCATCTGCACATATCTGTGGATGTGTAAATGGCTTGGGAGGAAGTCCTGAATATGGGATTCTTCACAATAAACCTAGCTTATAATTTGAGATTTACAAGTGAATTCATTCTGACTAGCCATGAAATTCACAGAAAAGAGGAAAATGGAAAGAACTCGTGTCACAGATAGGAAAGGTCAACTAGAACGCCTATGCTGGTTATCTTGTTGACATAGAAATTAAGTTCAGAGTCCAGTGAAGATAGTATCGTCTTGTTTCTACTAATAAAACCTGTCTGTCCATCTATTTTCAGTTGATTTCAGTATCAGTGAAGTCATTCATTACTATCCTCACATCCTGACAAGAAAAGAAATGAAGTGCATAATTCTTCTAAGAGAAAAGAAAACCAATCCCTTATCATCCATTACTGGTGATTTGATGACAAGTCTCTCTTTAGGCATCATTCAGAATAAATGACCCCTGCATGCTATTTGCAGTAGCCAATCTTGTTTAATTGGAGTTCTAACTATACACTTTAAAGTATTTGTGCTGTTTGTATATTTGGATAAAATATTGTGACAATGACAAAGAAATGAATGTGTCAAAATAGAATAAAAGAAGAAAGATGCCTCTTAATAGTTTAATTCCCTACATGCGTCCCCAAGAACTTGCTTTGTCGTGTTGATCACCAAAATGTAGCTAGCATGGATGTTCTGCAATTTGGAAATAAAAATAAATCCCAAAGTGGGTGAGAAATTCCAGTGATATTTAATTACTTTGTTTCTATTCCTCTTTTTGCTCCCATATCCTAAGTGGGGAGGTCCATGTGTGCTTTCTCTACTTCCCTCCACCCATAACACTACCCCTTCAAATTTCTGCTGGCCTCGCCTCTTCCAGGGCTCACTTGTTTTCATTCCTCACCCACTCTTCTGCAGCTTTATGCACAGGAAGCATGCTGCCTTTGAACTCAGCCCCTGTGATCCCCAGACAGGGAATTTTCCTGTGTCTTTTCCTCTGACTTTGCTCACTCCTCTGCTGGATCATTTTCTTCCTTCTGTCTCAAATCCCCCTGAGGATTTCCTTTCTTTCTTTTTCCTTCTTCCCCTTGATGTTCTCCTCCTCTGTCCTCAAGGACCACTGCATGCTGATAATCTCAAGTCTATGCCTCCAGCTCTAGTCTGTCTACCAGGCTTCAAGCAGACCGTGTTAATCCAGTGTGCCCCTAATGACCTCATGGCACTTTCTCATGATCATAGTCTCACTTGCATTTCCTATTTCTGCTCATGGCCCCACCCTGGCCCCCTTCATTTAGGCCCAGAATGACTCATTATCAACCATTCCCTTGTAGTCCTCTAACCTTCCTGTTTTGTTTTATTTTACCTTTACCAAATCCTTATGATTCTACTGTTACAGTCTCTCCCTGAAATACATATTCATCTCTACTTTGTTTACTGCTAATCATGACAAAACTAATAGTCTCTGAATCAGCTTTTCCATCTTAAATCCCTCCACCTTAGCTCATATATACAGCAACTATATTGTCTTTGCAAATGAAAGTTTTTAGTTGTGTCACACCCATGTTCAAAACTCCATGTAATCTTCACCTGCTAAAGCCTACTCAGGGTCACCAATTCTGTCTTCAGATCACCTCTCTACCTTTACCCTCATTGCAACCTTTCACTAGCCCTGTGCTCCATACCATGTGCATTTCTCAGCACCCATCTTTGCCTGCCTCTGAGCCTCCCTGATGTTAGTGTTTTTAACTGAAATGTCCCATCCTCACATGTTCAAAGTCCAAAGTCTGTCTTTTGTATGCAGTTCAAAGTTCAGGTCTGCCATGAAACATCTGCCTGTCCTGGCTGATCTCCATCCAAGCTGTATATCCCCCACCTCTCTATGCTCCCATACTACTGCATCAATAGCTAACTCACTCACAGAACTCACTATTTTCCAGTAAGCTGTAACATCTCCTGAGGGCAGGATCTGTGTCCAGTTCCACTTTGTACTTCTCACATTTCTGTGCTATATTAGTCCTCAAAGGAAACTACCAGGTGGGTGAGTAAATAAATGAACGCTCTGTGGAATTGTTTGACTGTGCCTCCTGAAGCTCACGTATTAGAAACTTCATCCTCAACAGGGAAATGTTGGGAGTGGGACCTAATAAGAGGTGATTGTATCTTGAGGGCTCTACCTTCATGAATGGACTAGTGTCATTATTGTGGGAATGGATTAATTATCACAGAAGTGGGTTGTTACAAAACCAAATTTGGCCCACTCTTGCTTTTCCACCATGGGATGATATACCATGAAAACACTCACCAGATACTTCTGGGCTCCGAAGCCTCCAGAAGCATGAGCCAAATAAATCTCTATAAATTATCCAGTCTCTGGTATTCTGCTATAGTAAAAAATGGACTACGACGCAGCAGGTAGTGTGTTGAATAGTGGCCCCTCTAAAAATGCATCTGCCTGAAACCTGTGAATGTGACCTTATTTGGGATAAGAGTCTTTGCAGATGTAATTGAGAATCATAAAATGAAATCATCCTGGATTATATGAATGGGCCTTAAATCCAATTACAGGTGTAACTGATTCTTATAAGAGAAAGGAAGGGGGAGACTTGAGATACACACAGAAGAACAGAAGTCCTTGTGAAGACAAAAGCAGAAATTGGAGCAATGTGTGCACAAGCCTAGCAACATCTGAAGTTAGAAGTTGGAATAGGCAAGGAAAGGTCCTCCTCTAGAGACTCTGGAGTGAACACAGCCCTCCCAACACCTTAATTTCAGGCTTCTTAACTTTCTGGATGACATCTCTCGCCTTTGAAATGGAGCCCACAGTTCATACCATGGAACTCATTGTCTATACCAAGGAGCCTACTGTTCATATTGTGTTATGTTGTTTTGGGTTGTTTTGGTTTGTTTTCCATAAGAGATGCTATATGGAAAATGCTCAGCATAGTGGGAGAACTTGGTGCATGTTTCCTAAATTAGAGGGTTATTGTGATATTCTTGAGCTGGTCATGAGCCTGCCAAAGATGGAGGAGGGAGAAAAAGAAGGAGGAGGAGGAGGAGGAGGAGAAAGGACAGGAAGCAAGGGGAGGGAAGGGAACAGAAGAGAAAGAAGAGAAGGCTGGGAGGGGAAGGAAGGGGAGGGGAGGAGAGAAGAGAAGAGGGAAGATATAGATATGAGAGGATGGACAGATGGATGGATGATAGATGATAACAGATGAGAATGATAAAATATAAGCTAGTCTAGTGTGTCTTATATCTTATAATCAAATCAGTAACAGAAATAATTCTAGACAGACTCTGGTGGGTAATTTAGCTACAGCTTCTGGTCATTAACTGAGGTGCTGTGACTGGCCATGCCTGACACATTTGGAATATGGAAGGTATATTAGATAAAATATTGTACCAATAAAAATTTATAAAGTTCATAACTGAGCTATAATTCTGCAAGAGATTGTCCCATTCCTAGGAAATGTACACTAGGAATAAAGATTCATGATGTGTGCTACTCAAATAGTTCAGAAAAGAAAAATATTGGGAGAACAAATTATAAAACACATGGGGTAAAATGTGGATAGATTAAATTAGCCATGGGTATGTGGGTGTTTTTTATACTTTTTTTATTTTCAAAATTTTTGCAAATTTGAAATTATTTTCCTGTAAAAATTTTTATTAAAAGCATTCTGCTTATCACACAGATTATTAGTAATAGTGGAAATTTTGCCACAAATGCTTCCTGGAGTTTTTCTTCTACACTGAGAGTGGCTATGACGTGGTGAAAAGACCCTAGTCTTAACACCAGGAAACATGGTTTTGACATTTGGAAAGGTCTTTAAGACCTTTATACCATGCTTTACAGATTTATAAATGCAGAGAGTAAGACCCACTTTAGAAGCAAGGATTTTTAAATCAAAGAGAAATAAAGATATTCTGTAAACCCTAAAGTATCATACAAATCTCTGGGGAGATCACCATCATCCTTCCACTCTAAATTTCAAGACAAAACCTTGGGACATCCTTAAAGACTCTCTGTGCCTTCTCACCCAACACATGAATCTCCAAGTCTGTCAGGTTGCCACAAACCTGTGTCCTCTTCCCTCCATCTCCACTGCCCTAGTCTTAGCTCCATGTCTCATTTCCACATCCCTAGATCAGGACAAGAACCTCCTAACAAATTGCTCAAATCACCTAGTACATCCTTATGGCCACTCAAGACCTTTCTAACCTTTCTAACCTGATGTATGTTCTTCCTACTTTTCCTTCTTAGGGTCCTTTAAGCAAAGATTCTTACTTTGTTTTTTCTGGTACTGGGTATTGAACCCAGGGCTTCTGCCCTGCTACTGTATCCTAGAGTATCAAACAGACTCCGGACTTGTTGCAATCTCTCTCCTCAGCCTAAATAAGTAATCCCACATTTTCTGGTTCCTCATTTCCCTCCGGAAAAAAAAAATCCCAGCTCAGCAGTAAAAACAAGCTTCACATTCAGGTCCTGCCTTCCTCTCCAGTCTCATTTTCCACCCTTTCTCCACGTGCTTTGTTATTTCCTGGCATGTTTAGTCTAGCATTCTTGATCAACTCTCACTTTTTAACATGCAATTCCACATGCCTGAAATACTTCTGTCAAATTTCAACTTGACCAGATCTTAATTGTCCTGCAATGCTCGATCAAAATCACCTTGTTTGGGATGGATTTCCTGACCCTGTCTGGCCAGACCAGTGGCTCGCCTTCCTGCCTCCACATGTTCTTATGCACAACCTTCCCATAGCCCTGCTTTCACTGGACTGTGTCTCCTGACTGAGTGTGAACTCCCTGAAGGTCCCTTTTTTGTATCCTCAGATCTAGCCCCATGCTTAGCACATCACAGGTACGCAAAACACACATGGTGAATGGAAAGTAAAATACTGAGTACTGTAAAAGTACAATTACTAAGATGCCACTTCTCTTCCTTTTTCCAAAACAGTCAACTGTCAGAGGAGGCTTCCAGGTCGACATGCCATCACTTCCAGTGCAGAGGAGGAGGCTTCCAGGCCAATGTACCACAGTTCCCAGCACAGAGAAGGAGGCTTCCGGGTCAATGTGCCCCTGCTGCCAGCACTGAGGAGGATGCTTCCGGTCCACTGTAGCACCACTCCCAGCACAGAGGAGGTGAGCACTCTCCCCAGGTCAAATGAGAAGACATGTAAACAAGCCTCAAAACCAGACTTCCAGATCACCTATAGCAACCCCAAAGAGAAACAAGATGGAACACTCTGACATTCAAACACCTGGACTCCTTGAACTGGCAACAAAAGAGAATGTGGAAAAAATGAAATCAGAAATAATTTCTCAGGGCCAGGGATTTAGTTCAGTGG